GCATCACCAACCAGCCGCTACGTCGCAAGCTCCACCTCCGGCACCGTCCATCAAATCCCGAGCCGAGCCAAAAGCGATCGAGTCCATATCAGAGCAACCGACTCCTGTCCTTCCCACGTCCCAGAGACTCTGGAACGCCGCGTACAACAGCCTCGCGGAGGGCAAGGATACCACAAAGCTTGTTGAGTCGTACATGGAAACCCTGGACAAAGTTCTTGGGGAGAGGACTGGTGAACCCGCCGTCGACGTTTCCGCAACACTGAAAGACCCGAGCCAGCGGCAGGCGCATATGAGAAAGCTGGTAGAGGAAGGCCAAGCAAAAATTTCCAGGCTGTCGAATATTACGCAGGGAGTCGGTGATGCCGTCCAATTCGTTCTCTCAGCCAAGGCCATGGTGGACTTGGCGATCCAGAACATACCGCAAGCAGCGCTGCCGTGGGCTGGTGTCTGCATTGGACTGCAGGTACGTATCTGTACACGGCCGCCCAATGGTTGTCTTGGTTAACCTCCATCCAGATCCTGCTGAATCCTGTTGAAGCAGTAGAGTCCAACCTGGCGGGCATCGCGCATGTTATCTCCCGGATGGACTGGTATTGCGCCTTGACCGAACATATCCTAAGCCAGAACAACATTGTGGTAGGGAGGGAGAGTTTCAAGTCTGTCCAGCTTCAGTTGGAAAACAGGATCGTTGAGCTCTACAAGGCTCTCCTTCTGTATCAGATGAAGAGCGTTTGCTCTTTCTACCGGCGTCAAACCTGGATCGTTCTCCGCGGCCTTGCGAAGGTCGACGACTGGGATGCCTATCTGAAGAGCGTCAAAGACATCGAGGCAACTCTTCAGGCCGATTTGAATCGGTTCAGCAGCGAGCATACCAAGAGCCTCCTTGGGAAGCTTGTTGAGAAAGCGGAAGAGAGGAAAGCGCTACTTGGAGACATTCATCAAGCTCTTCAAAGCAGCATCGCTGTGCAAGAAAAGACCCACAAAGCTGTCCAGGATGGCAACACTCTGCGCAAGGAGATTCACCGAGATGAGAAGGATACGCAATGCCTCCGAGACCTCCGCCTGACCGACCCGCGCGACGACAAGAAGCGCATCCAAAACGCGAAAGGTGGCCTGTTACGAGACGCGTATCACTGGGTCCTTAACAACTCTGAATTCCAACAATGGTGCAAAAGCCTGGACAGCAAACTGCTTTGGGTTAAGGGCGATCCTGGCAAGGGCAAGACAATGTTACTCTGCGGCATTATCGACGAGCTACAGAGATTGACTTTGGGAACAGGCCCTCTATCATTCTTTTTCTGCCAGGCCACCGATGAGCGGATCAACAATGCCCCCGCCATCCTACGCGGCCTCATCTACATGCTCCTCGACCAGCAGCCATCACTTATCCCTCATGTGCGGAAAAAGTACAAGCATGCAGGAAAAGCACTCTTCGAAGATGCGAATCGATGGGTTGCTTTATCCGAGATCTTCAAAAACATTCTGCAAGACCCAAGCCTGGAGGGCGCCTACCTGATCATCGATGCGCTCGACGAATGCATAAGCGGTCGGCGCGAACTTCTCAAATTTATCGTTGGGATGACATCTACAGTTCCTCATGTCAAGTGGATCGTCTCAAGTCGCAACGAGCCGGACATCATGGAAAGTCTAAAAGCCGCGGAACAGAAGACAAGGCTCAGTCTCGAGCTAAATGAAAAGTCCGTCTCGTCTGCTGTCAGCATATATATTCAATACAAGGTGGATGAACTAGCGCAGCTAAAGGGATACGACGACAAAACACAGCACGCTGTTCAAAACCACTTGACCTGCAATGCAAAGAATACATTCCTCTGGGTGGCTTTGGTCTGTCAAGAACTCACAAAGTACTCACGGTCAAGGGTTCTCACCAAGTTGAACACGTTTCCACCAGGTCTTGGTTCTCTCTATCAACGAATGATGGCTCAAGTTCGCCGCTCGGACGAGGCAGATCTCTGCAAACAAGTGCTGGCTGTTCTCTGCAGTACTTACCGGCCTATTACGATACAAGAGCTGACGTCGTTCATTGACATATCCGAGGACATCTCTGACAATCTAGAATTCTTGACAGAGATAATAGGTCTCTGCGGCTCTTTTCTGACCCTTCGAGAATCCATCATCTATTTCGTACATCAATCGGCAAAGGAATTTCTGTCGAAAGACGCAGTGGACGAGATTTTCCCTTCTGGTGTGGCACTCTTACACTACGGTATCTTCTCTCAATCGCTACATGTCATGTCCACGGCCTTACGACACGACATGTACGGCCTGGCTACCCCCGGATTTCCCATCGAAAATGTCAACCAGCCTAACCTGGACCCGTTAGCAGCCGCACGCTATGCTTGCGTCTACTGGGTTGATCATCTCTACAATTGGCAGTCAAGCAAGAATACCAATCATCCAGATGTTTTCCAGGATGGCGGTGTCATCGATAAATTTCTGAGGCAGCACTATCTCCACTGGCTTGAAGCTCTCTCACTTTGCAGGAGCATGTCGCAGGGGGTGTTGTCAATGGCGAA